TAAAAAAAACAAAGAAAGAAAATTTGTTGCAAAGAGAAATTAACTCGAAATGGTGAACAAATTTTTTATGAGAACATTTTTGAATTTCTAAAGAAATTTTGAAAGCCCGAACATTATTTGAAACTCCCCGAACAAATTTTCAAAACGAGAACATTTTTCGAAATTGTGAACAAATTTTTTATGAGAACATTCTTGAAAGCACAGGAAAAAAAACTGAAAAAGGAAAGAGAAACAGAAAATAAAAGAAAAAAAGTCCATTTAAGGAACCCTCTAGAAACTGATAAAAACCGGCTGGGAAACTTCTAGAAAGTTCCCAAAACCGGGACTTCCTACAGCGGGAGATGGGTCGGCCCACTTTATCGCGTCCTCTGTGCGATCGGTCGATCCCCTGTGCGATCGGTCGACTGTTTGACGCAGAGAGCGTCAAATAGGGTTTTCCCTCCTACGACGCTGCAGGCGCCCGTTCGCGCTCCTGGCGCCTGCAGCGCCCCGCGCTGGGCCGGCCCACGAACAAGCAGCAGCAGCAAAAAAATCCTAGAATAAATGTTAGTTTTGTTGGGGATTCAAACTCGCGCCGCTACAGCCTGTACGCACTACGCTAACCACTACAGCCACCTCATAACACTAACAACTGGTACTGCATGTTATTTAAGTACAACTACAGCCGCGCTGGTCTAAAATTTAGAAGTTCCAAGATTAAAATAAAGTTCACGAAATTGTTTAAAAGTTAATGGTTCAGATATTAAAAAAAATGCTCACAAAAATTGAAAAAAGTTGACTAGTTCAAGAAAAAGTTCATAAATTTGAAAAGGTCCACTAATTTCAGAAAAGTTAACGAATTTAGGAAAGTTCACGAGTTTGAAAAAAGTTCACAGATCGAAAAAGTTCATGAAATTCAATATAGTTCAAGAAAATTGAAAAACGTTCATCAATTTTCATAAAAGTTCACGAGTTTGAAAAAGTTCACGGATCAAAAAAGTTCATGAAATTCAATATAGTTCAAGAAAATTGAGAAAAGTTCATCGATTTTCATAAAAGTTCATGAATTTTGAAAAAAAATCATTGATTTAGATAAAAAGTTAATCGGATTTTGAAAAGAGTTCATTGATTTTGATAAAAGTTCATCGAATTAGAAAGGAGTTCATCAAATTTGAAAATAATTTCAATGGTTTTGAAAAAAGTTCATCGAATTGAAAGAAAACGTTCATATAAATCTGGTGAATATTTCTCACATAATTTTAGAAAATAAAAAGGAAAAATAAAAAGAAAAATGACAGGAAAATAACTGAAAAAGGAAAAGAAAAGGAAGACGAAACAACAAAAAAGGAAGAATGTCAATAATTTCACAGAGGTGAAGATGATCGGTGGTTGTTGCGTGTTCGATGGAACCACAGGTTCGCTGGTTCGAATCCTACAGCATGCAAATAAGTCATGATTTTTTGTCTTTAACACATAGAACTGAAAACTAGTTGGGCCGGCCCAGTGCGAGGCGCTGCAGGCGCCCGTTTGCAAAATACACATTAACGGGTGCCTGTAGCGCCAAATAGGAAATACCCCTCGCCGGTGCGCAGTCCTCCTCCTGCCCTTGTGTTAGCTCATTTTGGGCCGCATGCCCTGAGTCCAACGAAGAATTCGGCCCAACCAAGCCCATCAAAAATTTCAAACGATGTGATCTGACCGCCTTTGAATTTGCCGGAGAGCTCCTCGTCATCTTCGGCCAGCTCCTCGTCATCTTCCTCGCCGTCCTTGCCTTCCGTCTCAAGCGCCCAGAAACGGCCCCTGGTCCGCGGCCGGCTGGTCGGCGCCCGGGCTGATAGATCCACCGGAATGCCCGCCCCAGCCGCAACGGTCGCCCTGGGAACGCTCATTCAACGCTCTCCTATCCAATCTCATGAACGCTCATTCAACGCAAATAAGTCATGATTTTTTGTCTTTAACACAGAGAACTGAAAACTAGTTGGGCCGGCCCAGTGCGAGGCGCTGCAAGCCCGTTTGCAAAATACACATTAACAGGCGCCTGCAGCGCCAAATAGGAAATACCCCTTGCCGGTGCGCAGTCCTCCTCCTGCCCTTGCGTTAGCTCATTTTGGGCTGCATGCCCTGAGTCCAACGAAGAATTCGGCCCAACCAAGCCCATCAAAAATTTCAAACGATGTGATCTGACCACCTTTGAATTTGCCGGAGAGCTCCTCGTCATCTTCGGCCAGCTCCTCGTCATCTTCCTCGCCTTCCGTCTCAAGCGCCCAGAAACGGCCCCTGGTCCGCGGCCGGCTGGTCGGCGCCCGGGCTGATAGATCCACCGGAATGCCGGCCCCAGCCGTAACGGTCGCCCTGGGAACGCTCATTCAACGCTCTCCTATCCAATCTCATGAACGCTCATTCAACGCAAATAAGTCATGATTTTTTGTCTTTAACACAGAGAACTGAAAACTAGTTGGGCCGGCCCAGTGCGAGGCGCTGCAGGCCCGTTTGCAAAATACACATTAACGGGCGCCTGCAGCGCCAAATAGAAAATACCCCTTGCCGGTGCGCAGTCCTCCTCCTGCCCTTGCGTTAGCTCATTTTGGGCCGCATGCCCTGAGTCCAACGAAGAATTCGGCCCAACCAAGCCCATCAAAAATTTCAAACGATGTGATCTGACCACCTTTGAATTTGCCGGAGAGCTCCTCGTCATCTTCGGCCAGCTCCTCGTCATCTTCCTCGCCGTCCTCGCCTTCCGTCTCAAGCGCCCAGAAACGGCCCCTAGTCCGCGGCCGGCTGGTCGGCGCCCGGGCTGATAGATCCGCCGGAATGCCGGCCCCAGCCGCAACGGTCGCCCTGGGAACGCTCATTCAACGCTCTCCTATCCAATCTCATGAACGGAAGTGATAATGGCAAGTTGACAACTTTGGCCCCGAATTAAGCTAGGTTGTTGTCGTGTTGTTGTCGTGTCGCTTGGTGGAGCTCGTGGCATTGGTTGCGAAGTTTGCTAATGAAGATGTCAATGCGCTGCCGGTCCCCCAATCTCGCCAACTGCCTCCATAGCTGTAAGAAAACGACCATTTTATAGATCAAGTCAGCCGACTGATTGAAAATATTTCATTCCACCAATGCTTTATTACGGGTAGCCCAAAGAACCAAAGCTAATGCGGCAAAGCCCATCGACACTAATCTCCTGTCTATTCCTGTCGATCCTGCAAAGAAACGTTGCAAGTCGAAAAAAGCCGTCAGGTTCCAATTACAATTTATCGCTGCTCGAATAACACTCCAGGCGAACCGTGCAATAATGCATCTAAAAGGATGTGATCACAGGTCTCATCCTCACCACACCATACACATTTGCCATCTTCCGGTCCATGCCTCTTAAGGACTTGATCTCCACTAGGGATATGGTTGCAGGCTACTTGCCACAAAAAGATTCTAATTTAAAAAAATGAGACCAACCCAAAGGCTAACTCTCGTTGGCATTTATTTATAGGAAAAACTCCACAAGCACCACGCGTCCAAGCCAGGACTTAAACTCGGGTGGGCTGGCAACAACCTCAGCTGCCCAGCCAACGGGTAAAAAGATCCTAATTTTGGCCGGGACTTTTGCCTTCCAGATATCCATCACCTCCCACTTAGGACAGGACTTAAAAATTTTCTTGTAGAATGAGACTGTCGAAAACACACCGTCGCCATTTGAAATCTGTCGGAAAGGAAGATACATCCTCATTTGATCCCAGTCCTCTCTTTCGATCGGGCCAAGAGCTCGACGAAATCCTGCGGCCCAACGTCCATTAACCCATATATCCGCCACCCTGGCGTTTGGTTTGGCTGCAATGACAAGTAAGCATGGCTACTTGGTCCGAAGCAGGCCACCCTCAGACCAAAAATCATACCAAAACATTGTAAGAGCATCTCCGATAGATTATCTTCCACGCCCATTTGGCGATGAGGCACCAATTCTCCTATTTGCGCCCTATAAGGATGAATAGTTCGCTTCAGATCTGTAACAGGTGAATAGCCCGACTGACTCCTCTCATTTGTTCCTAAACAAGTGAACATCATGTTGTCGAAAAGGATTGCCATTTTTGCGATTTATTTCGACTGGGTTGTTTCAAGGGAAGATTGGCAAAAAGAGTGTCAATGGATCTGTATTAGGCTGCACATCTCTGGTTGGGTGTTCAATTGACTTGCGGTATTAATTAGGCTCAGCTCACGCGGTAACTCCAGGTGCCGGAACAGCGGCTGAAATCATATCTTCACATAATGTTACTCCGTCCATTCTAAATTACTCCCTCTGTAAAGAAATATAAGAGCATTTAGATCACTACTTTTCTTTACAAAGGACTATAAGATGTTCCTAACCTTTTTTTTTTTTGAATTGGATGTATTTTAATGTGTTTGTTGGCTCGTTTCAATTCATATGTAGTCCATATTGAAATATTCAAAACATATTATAATTGGAAACGGAGGGAGCATGTAGAGCACCAACAGTAACTCGTTTTATCTTAGCCGACGACTCGTTATAAACTTTTACTAATGTAGTAGCGGGTGATATTGATACATATGCTTTATACTGCCACTCCAGGCAAGCAACTTACTTAGCAACCAGTTACAGCATTTCTCGACAACAGCAGCACAGTGGCTCCTAGGAATACAAGATACAGGTAGCCAGCCTCAAATTTCTGCCCAGCTATGTACCCGAAAAAAAGGAGGAAGAGAAGGAAAATTGGCCGACAAAAAAAGAAACCTCAAGTTGTTCCAAATGACCGATCAGAGCGGTCGGAGACTTTCTACCGGGTCTGATTCCTCGAGCATCGAGGCCGCCTGAAAGCAATCGGCGGCCTCAGCTAGCCTCCCGTCATGCTTGTGGACCTGTCCTAGGTAGAACCAGGCCATCCTGTTCGTAGGCTCGAGCCTTAGGGCGTCCGACAGGAAGCTCCTCGCCACCGGGAGATACTTGGGCCCTTGTTCCGACAGGAGAGCACCGATGGACACCTTGGATGGTACATGATCTACCTCTGTTGAGAGTGCATTCAAGTATGCAGCCAGCGCATGCTGCGTTTGCTCACGGACCCCATGCATGTCACCTGGAAAGAAATGAACGGATCATGATGGTCACAGGATATTTGACAGAAGAAAGCTAGGGATGTCTTCCAAATTTTAAATTCAATAAATGCCTAGCCTAGATGAATGAGAAAAAAAAGTGAAGAAAAAATTCAACACTTTACCCATTTCTACTTGTTTCTTATTCGCACGACAATCACTTGTATTATACTTTGCAGGCATGACAGTAAACCAACAAATCCTCAAGGCACATACCGCATAACGGGTTTCATACTCTTTTTATGTGCAAGGATGAATACATACTTTTACCAATAACCAGAGATGCACGTATGGCTCACGGGTCATGAATCGGTGACCAAGGTTTCCTCACCTTCTGCATGAAGTGTTGTGGCAGAATAAGTTTTCAGAGCTTTAGCCTTCTGCAAACATATTTCGGCATCTCTGCAGTACGAAAGACTAGCATACAAGTTGGCAAGACCTTGCCAAACTTCAAACTCACTCACTTTATTATCCCTTTCCTGAAACAAATTTCACAAAGTATGAGATAACAAAAAGAACAGTGTGCGTTGGTGAAAATTATAGTGGCATTTAGTTTCAGCAGCAAATACAAACAAGAAAAGTAGTTCAAAGGATATTGCTATTTGAGCAACATTATTCAGTGTGAGGATCCAATCCCACTCCAAACTAACTAGAAAAGGTATGGGCGTAATAACATTTGCAAACAAGCATGAACTTCAATGAGACATTTGTTTAATTGAGAAGACAAACCTCTGTGCCATTTTTTAAAGATCCATAAGCCTTCCGTTGTGCCTGAACAAGAGCAAGAAGGGCACGGTATGCTTCAACTGCTTCCATGGGCAATGATTGAGCTGCTTTCAGTTTAGCCCTTATTCTAAGTAATGGCCCTTGTTCCCATTTTGTAGTTTCTTCTAATGCAGCATCAGTCACCACCTCTGCTTCCGAATACCTCTGCTGCGCAGAGAGAACCAAAGATAGCAATCTCCAGCCTTTAGAAACAGATCCGCCAGTTGTGTCAATGAACTGCTTTGCACATTTCAGTGCAGCCTGCATGTTTCGTTGCTCAGCATACTCAACCCCCATGTCAAATATTAAATCTGGGTTGTGGCGGTCAAGGGAAAATGCTTCACCAAGTGATTTCAAAGCCTCAGCCTGCAAGAGAGATCTTTGATGATCGGACGAAGCAATTTTAGACTCATTAGCCAGACAACTCCCCAAGAGATGGAGCCCAACACTCCTTAAATGCCCATCTAATAATTCGTCGTCACCGATTGCTCTCTTTGCATACTCTACACCCTCGGAAGCAAGATAATAGTCCGAACTACATATCTTAGCAGCTAAAAGCAGGGCATTTATGTCATTGGGACTCTCATTCTTATTCAAAGACTTCTTTAGCAAATTTAATGCCGCTTCATCATCCGAAGCTGCAGAATAACAAAGGGCTAGACTATACCATCTCTCAGTTCGAGGGTATATTCCAGGCAAAACTTCTTCGAAATGCTTGGCAAGCACAGATGTCTGGCCACAGAGTGACAATGCAAAGGTTAGATGCTCCATCACTGAGGGGTCCCAGTGAGTCTTTCCAAGGTACCACTTCTTCAAAAGTATCATGAGCAGCAGGATTGCCTCTTCCAAATTATTCTTAGGGACAAATGAACCTTCGGTTTGTGAAGCCAAGCTCGGCGGACTTGCCTCAACACCACCATACAACAGAAAAACAGAAAACCTCTTCTGAATTCTCGCGCAGCATTCATCGTCGAGATTCCATTGACTAAGAAGAGCACGCCGGTAAGAAGCAAGTGCTTCTTGATAAGCCCCAGCTTGCTTCCAAAGTTCTGGGAGTAGCTCAACTGATTTACTGACAGTTTCCTGCAGCTTTTGTTCAACCATGACATCAGGTATGCCACGTTGGAAGATACTTTCAACAGCATCAAGGACGCTTTTACACTGTTGAGCGGCCTCTGCAAGTCAATGGATTCATGGTGTCACAGCAAGCATAACAAAATGGTCAGAGTGAAAGTTTGCATTCGTACCTATTGCTTTCCCCAACTTTTGAAGAGACATTGCCTTCAAGTAAATGGCTTCAAGAACAAGGCTGGCAGCATGCTGTGATCCTGAATTCGATGAATCTGACCATAGTTTGTTATTCCGCTTGGAAGATGGTTTTTCTGAAAGCGGCGGTTGGAAACGCTGAATAGCAGCTTGAAGGTCTATTCCATCAAATACTCGAAGTGCAGCCTCTACATTTCCTCTCTGATATTCTAGTCTCCCGAGGAGAGCTCTTGCTTCCTAATTTTCAAAGCAAATACATAAAAGGCAAAGTTAGCAGCAACAAAATATAAGAGGTGCTGAGTATTCTTTGGCTACTGGCCTATCAGCAATCATGGTTTAGGAGCATTCAGCTAGTCAAGCACAAATAAACTTTTTAGCACATATTGGTACTCAGTATCAGTAATCACAACCAAACAATTTAGCTTATACTACTTGTTTAAACTTAATTAGGGTTCTGAACTCTGGGCATAAACTATGTCCCGTTGTCCTAAAAATGATACCTGAAGATCATATATTTTTATCAAAGATACAGACAAGCATCTCTACTCTAACTTAATCTCTTGTTGATAGTTAAGTACGAAACTCCAAGATTTCTGATGTTTTCAAACTCACCAGAAAAGGAAATCGTGTAAACATTAGAACATGTGAGATAAACACAAAACCGTCGTATTATCATTTGTCGCAAAATATAGAGAAATAAGGAAAATGAAACCGTTTTGCCGCAACAAAGACTAAACAAGAACAAAGAGCTGCCCAACTGAACTAAACAAAGAAAACGGTCTCTTTTTTTCACATCCAATTCCCATTGTGTTACTCATGCAAATTGCTTCTGAATTCGACCACACTTGTACCACTCCATCCATTACAAATTGCACAAACCTCTTACTGAGTGTTAGAATGGCTGGCTAGGTCCCAAATTCACTAGATAACATATCACCCACTGACCAAACCATGGTCAAACGGTTATACAACATCTAAAAGCAAGATCGACATCTATCCATGAGTTATTTCACTTTCTTTGAGTTCTACATTCTCTTCTGAATTTTAAGAATTGCCCCCAAGGAAAAAGCACGAATGCTGAATCCTCCAAACATGGAGAATCATTTGCACAAGATAACATCTTAGTATCCTACATCTCCCCTAATGCTATCTTTTCTTCCAAGCAGAATGTATCATTCTAATCTAAATACTTGCTCAGCTGACCAAATCAGAATGGCCCCGCAACCTTGTGAAAACAATGCTATCTCCCACATGAAGAACCACCAGTCCTTGGAATGAGCAAGGAAATCAGGCACTACGACCTCCGCGCGAAGATCCCGATCTTCCCCCAAAACGCATCGAAGGACAGACAGCATATAGGCACAATTGGACCCCAAAATTATCTAATATTTTCATTCCATCTCACCCAAACAGACCTCGAGCAACTCGCGCAACCGCCCAGATTAGATTAGGCAGAAAGGAAAAGAAAAACAGAAGCTTAGAGGCGACGATTCCCGTACCTCGTAGTTGAGGGAGAGGCCCTCGCGGAGCGAGGACTCGGCCTCCTGGATGTTGCCGTCGTCGACCCTCGTCTCCGAGGACTCGGACGCCGTCGCCGCCGAGGCGCCGGCCTCCGACTCCGGCGCCCTCTCCCTCGCCTTCACCGGCGAAGCGAACGCCCCCGAGTCCCCGGTCGGGCCCACCTCGCTCCCGTTGTCCGACTCTGCTGCCGCTGCCATTGCTGCCGCCGCTGCCTCAGAGCCACCGCGCGATCCCTCCGGCGAGCATGTGCTACGTCAATGCGTATGCGTGGGTAGTTGTTCTTGGCTAGTAGACGGAGGAGGCGAGATCCATGGCATTGGACTTCTTGGCCTTTCTACTCGGAGTGGGGAGCTCATCATTTATTTATTTATTTTTCCCTTCGAGCTCGCCGGCACGTTCTTCTACTTGTAGGGCTTGTGGCTGTTGTAGCATATTTTTTTTGTTGCATTTTCATTGGGGAGTTCATAATTACTTCAGTCTGGCAGTGAGCGTGCCTTACCATTTTAGATAGATATATAAACGATGGCAAAAAAAAAATAGATATATAAACGTTCACTCAATTTGAAATAGATGTTTGGTCTAGAAAGTTAGCCGTTAAACTTCTTAATCCATGGCATAGGAGTGGTATAATCTATTTAGGTTGGTTTGATACAATGACAGAGATATACTTATCATAAATACCATAAATACTCACCCAAAAGTAACAGCTAAGGTCGTACTCCTTCCCTAAATATAGTCTACATACAAAACAAAATGAGTGAATCTACATTCTAAAATGTGTCTATATACATCTATATGTAGTTCGTATTAGATCTTTATAAGGACTTATATTTGAGAACGGCGACGGTGTGGACGAGCTCGTGCGCTCCCGCTAGCTGGACGAACGACTCCATGACGCGTAGCACAGCGTATTTACTGCTATGGTGTGCATTGGCGTCGAGTACAGGTGCTCCACCGTCCAAACTAACCCGAAAGTAGCGGCTCAGCTTCGTGTTGTTTCGTTGGAACATGAATGTCGGAGCGGCGGGTTGGTAGTCCCTTTCTCTTTCGTAGGATCCACTCTCAGGAACGCTGAGGCTCCATACAGTCAACACTTTTTCCGCTTTTCCGCTCATGGACTCCTCCGTCGGGTGAGCGTCCCTGGCGGCGCCGCCCGATCTCCTTCCCCCGGCCTCCCCTACTGCCGCCGGGACCAGATCTGCAATCAGCACGGCGTCCTCTCTCTTCCACCCCTCGAAGGTCCGCCCCCCGCGTAAGCTGCGTCGCTGGCTGCTCCCGTGTTCGTGATGCCCAATGCTTGCGACGGCCGCGCCATCTCCGGCTCCGGCCATTGCACTCGCTGCGGCCTCCCTCGCCGCCCGCAAGGCGGATCCGTCCGTTCAAGGACGCGTCGCCTCGCGCAAGCTCCCCTGCACGCCCACGGTGCCGGCAAGTCAACCCCCGCCGCCAACCGTCCCCGTCCTCGTTGCCGGTGGCACTTCCGGCTGGACGACGACACCTTCCGGCCTCCTCTGCTCGTCGCCAAGCACCCAACTGCCCCGTGCACCTCCTGTGTTCGCCTGCATGGCGGACCCAACAGGACATGTCTTCCCGCCGCCGCAGCCAAGCTTGGGCCCTGAGGACGTCGCTATTGAGGTGTCGGTGACAACTCCTGGGCCGCCGGCAGCGCTGCCCTGCCAAGACGGCAACCGCCCACCTGCTGCCGTGTTGAGCTCTAGCACCCATGTCCCCGCTGCCGATGCTGACTTGCTCGCCAGGCCAGATTCAACTTGCGTGGAGGAGGCTGCAGGCTGGAAGCTCGTCCAGTCCCGCCGTGTGCGCTTGGAGCCTCCGCCACCTTTGGCTTTCATGCCTCAGCAACGTCCCCGGCCACCTGCGTGGCTCAGAAACAGATGTTTTCGTTGCTTCGCAAAAGGCCATCGGGCAGCCGGATGCACAAGTCCGATCCGGTGTAAGCAATGCTTCTGCTCGGGACACCATGCACGGGATGGCTGCAAGCCGGCACCGTCGCCGCATGCTTCATGTTCTGCTCGGCCGCCGACCCATTCTTGGGCTTCAGTTGTTGCGTCTCCACCAACATCAGGGATCCATGAGGCACTATGCAACATGAAGACTATTTGTCAGGATTCATTGCCTTCCTCGTTGATTGCTTCGAGTTCCACCTGGAAGGATGTGGAGGAGGCAATTAAGCCGCTTCGTGAGGTCGCTGACTCTTTGCAGGGCTGGCTAGTGCGTGTTAGGAGCTTTTTAGAGCGTGCGGAGGCTTCTCTGCAAAGGTTCCCTGTTGCACCGGCTCCCATGGTTGAGTCTGTTGTTGGCTTCATGGATGAGGCAGATGCAGAGCTCTTCGGTAGCTTCTCGCCTCGTGCTGGGTCCAGTTCGACGCCCTCTGTGTTGACGGGCTTTGAGGGTGAGGCCTGTGCTGAGGTTGTGTCTCCGGTGCTACAGATCATGCCCGAGCTACAAATATTGTGTGGGAAACCTGCTTCGCCTCTGCCGACGGAGCAGCTCAAGTTGGGATCTCTCCAGGCTTCAGAGGTGGCCTTGGTGCCCTCACCACCCCCCGTGGAGCCTTGTCAAGTGTTAGGCGGCCTAGCACTCAGTGTCGTGGAGCATGGAGTTTCAGATATTGCTACCCTTCCCTCGCCTGTGACCATCGAGCAAGTGGTGCCTATGAGTGGCATGACCATCGAGTCAAGTGTGTCGGCACCTGCTCCAAATTCTAATGCTCTCTTCGCAAAGGAGCTTTGTGACTTGCTTGCCAGCGTGGAGGTTGCTAGACCTGGTTTGGGTAGGTCAATTGCTTGCCTCCTAACTGGGACACCAATAAGGGGCAAATCAAAGAAGGTCGGTAAAGGCAAGAGTGGTGCCATAGGCAAGACGAATGTGCTTGCTTGATGGATGATCTCCGATCTCTCGGCTCGTCCTCTTGGACTGGGTTGCCTTTGTTGTTTGGGAGGAGCATGATGTCTTGTGTCGATCTGTTCTTCTTGGGTCACTTGGTGTGGTAACAATGTCGAGGTTGGTTGTTGTTAGTTTGGAGGGGCGTATGTGTCGTTGTGGGGTTTCATGTCATGTGAGTAGTTCGTCTGTGGTACGTTTGTAATGGTTTTCGCCCGATTTTTCATAATTAATTGGGCAATTCTCTTCTTCTTAATTAATCGATGAGGCAAAAATTTTGCCTCCGTTTCGAAAAAAATGTCGGAGCGGCCCATAACCAAATGCCGCCGTCAACTTCCGCTACTGAGACGGCGTCCTCCGAAAGGGTACTGGGGTGCCCAACTCTGACAAGTAAATGGGTACCCATGTTTGGGCCCATGGTCGTCTCGGCGTCGCTGACCAGTAAAAGAAATATATTTTCCTTCTCCCATAGCCGCCTACAGAGCAGGAGCCCATGGCGATGCAAATGTCGGCCGCCGGAGGTGTTGAAGTCGAGTTTTTGTCAGATACCGTCGACATGTACACTTTTCTGCTACCAGTTTCTCTTCCTGTCGATCCTTCTCGAAAAAGATTTCCACTGCTAGATCTCGCTGCCGCACAGCCCTTGGTTGCTTACGAGACGTACAAATCCATGGAGTGTGAGCATGCTGAGTCCAGCATTGGTGATGTGGGAGACACTCCGGTCAACAGTAATTGTGATGTGATTGCCTTGTCTGCAGCAGCATCTGAGCATTCTATGGGCAAATATACCCCTGAAGCCCCAGGCTGGAGGAAGAGGTACAACAGTTTTCCAAATCTTCAGTTAGCATTATATGTGCAGATGACCTGTTCTTGCGTTATCTTAAGACGAACTGTCGGATATTCAAATTCAGCCGTTTATCACATGTAATTAAACACTGCATTCAAAGATTAGGCCTAAGAAATTCAATCCAATTGATGCAGAATGCGAGTCGGAAGTTCATCTAGCGAGCGCCACCCATGCGCTGACAGGATGAGTGCTTTGGAAGCAACACTAAGAAGCCACGCAGAGAAAAAACCTGACACTGTCGTAGTTCCTACTACAGGGACAAAATTTGATTCTCTTGGAGAAGCCTGCTAGAACATGTCCCTGGATGTGCATGGATGCAGAAAATCTCCTTGGGATATAGAGCTGGAAATCTGGGACTTAGGGTGTTCTAGAGCATCCGTGTCATCCAAGTGAGAGGTGAATATCCTTTGTCTTTAGGACATGCTTGCTGAACATGCAAGTTCCCTAGACGAAGGATGAGTATAACTGATGAAGCTTTATGCAGACTATTGGCACCCATCTCGTATAGAGCTATTGCCGAGAGCGCCTTTGCATCTGACGTGGTGCGCCAGAGCTGGTCATAGGGGACCACACGCAGCTTGATCAGCTCGGCATGGTCCCGCAGGCCCGTTTCCTTCCCTTGGAGAGCGTAATAGTCTCCTCGTCCACGTGCCCTCTATAAAGGAACATGCCAATCTCTTCGTCACAGCCACCCTGGTAAAAAGAGGAAGATGTTTAGTCGAGGTATTGCACAACCAGGAGCAAGTGTAAGTTCTTAGAATAGGTGTTGAAATTACGTCAGCATGGATCAAGAGAACTTTTCCATTCCAGGTATATGATGCCAAATGAACATCCCATTTATAGAAGTTTTGCTGAATCACATGACAAAATTGCTATGCAGTACACTTTGCTATGTTTCCAAGCAGGATTATTACAGATCTGCAAGGTTATTACGAACTGAATTCATCTGTCTGTCTTCTGCTTTTTTGTGTTGCATGTGATTCTCAACAAAAACATATGGGTATAATGAGGCAAGGAACCCAAACTACGTATATCAAATGTTATCATCAGGTCTGCCCAGTGCACGGAAGCCAATCTGAGTCAAGTTATGTTATTCTTTTTTGAAACAAAAGTTATGCCTTAATTGTGAACTGAAGGGAATGCAGGCCACTTACCGGTGATGGTAGCATTCTGCACCCAGTAGCAAGGTCCGGCGAAGCAGTAAGATCAACCATGCCCTCTAGATTTAACTTTATAGTTTATACCAGTTTCTTCTTCGACCTAGAAACAATCCAAGTACAAATAGCGAAGAGTGACGTATACATTAACTGAATACTTAGTATGTCAGAAATTAAGTTGAATTCCTGGCAGTGGCAGCAAGATTGGTGCATGCCTTGTGAACCAAATCGAGCTAAAACAGGGCTAGTGTGACTGACTAGCTGCAATAGCATGCAAAATTCAGTGGATATA